AGTATTCAGAATTCTAACCAAACAAACACTAATAGCACAAAACTACTCCCTTTAATCCCAATTCAGATGACCTAACTCACTAAACAAAATCTTACTAGCTCAGTTAGTTAACTAGGTGAACTTTCACTTCCACCTTTTGGTGATAGTTTGATTCCTCAACTTGTAAACCCCTTCCCCTACCCCCAAAACCAAAACTCATCAACTATGAATTTTATGAAAACCCCATGAGAGAAAAATGAAAAAAAAAGAAAGAACTACCTTGAGGTTTGATGGAATCTTGAACCATTTTTGCCATTAGATTTCTCCCAAAATGATCAATCAAGAACCAAAAATTAATTTGGACCTAATTTAACTTATTTTGAAACATAACAAAGTAACAACAGAAGAAATAGCTCCGATCAATAACAAATTTTTTAAGGGATTGAAGTTTTACAGTAAACAAGATTTTCACAAAAAGTTTGATTCTTTTGGAAAATTCAAATCAATTTTTTTCTTTTGCGGAGATTTTGGATTTTGTATTTATAGAGCTGCGTAGAACTACGTGCCAATATTATCTTATATGGAAAAATGAATTCTTTTTTTTATTTTATAAATAAAACATAAATTTTTTTTAAAAAAAATTGTATAGAATTGCAAAATGATATCTCGAAATTAAATTTTGAATATCTCCTTCCTAAAATATATATCACGTTTCCTAACAAATTTGTTTTAAAAGGAATATTTCTTTTAAAATCAGAAACGATTAGTTTTGTGATCATTACTTAAAGTTTTTTATTTTAATTTCTAAACGTATTTTAGTTATATACTCTTCTTATTTTTTACTTTTTAACAATATTCTGATTTTACATTTTTCATCTGAAGTGTTTAAGAAAAGAAAAAAAAGCTTAAATGTGTCATTAAACTTTGAGAAAATACTTCATATATGTCATTTGTGTAAAGTTTAGTTCATCTACGTCATTTTCATTTGAGAATAAGGCTAATTCATATCATTATGTGTTAATTGAAAACAGAATTGATTTTGCAAATTTATTTTTACGCATTTTAATTATGATTTGGGTACGTCATTATTTAAATCATTTCTTTTAAAGAAAGAAAAGGTTCAAATATGTTATCAAATTTTAAGAAAAGATTCATCTATGTCATTTTAGTTAATAAATAATACTTCATAATATATTTTTTTCAAATGAAAATAGCATAACTAAGTCAAATATTTTAACGAATAACATATTTGATTCTTTTCTCTTAAGAAAATAAGATTACGAGATATTTTGACATATGATATAAATATTCAATTCAAGTTGATAAAATTTTGAAAAATATCTTTTTAATTAAATCAAAATAAATTAGATAAAGTAATATTTAGATTCAATATCACCTATTATTAGGATCTTGATTTTTGTGTAAGAGTATGCTAAACGTGTTTAATTGAGTGAAAAATTTAGAATCAATTTTTTGTTGTGCAAAATTAAATAGGAAATCTTTGTAGATGGTATTCTTTTACTAAATGGATATGGGATATCATTTCCTTCTAAATTTCGAATCAATTTGACTAATTATTTTTGGATTTATCCTTAATAAATATAATAAGTCTCATACCCACGTAAATATTGTGAAATACCTAAATTTCCAAATTATTATAAGATAGTTAAGATACAAATATTTCAAAAAAATTTATTCCTTTTTAAAATTCCAAACTCATTATATAATAGAAATATATCGATTCGTTATATTGTAACGTCATAAAAGTGCTACATAAATTTCACATGGTACATAATTGCCCCTATGAAGGACTTGTATAGGCAGAAGGTTAGTCCTCAGTGGAGGATTCATATGTGTTGTTAAATTATACTCACTTTTTTAAATGTATCAATAATTCATATGTAGATAAATTATAATTAACTTTTTGAGTGCATCAATAACTCGTATTTTACTTTATATGATATTTTACAATATTTTTTATACAAATAAAAATATGACTATATTTATTGTCCGTATATATTTGAATTTTTTCGTCTTCTTATAATCTTCCAGAGATCACCTCAATCTTCTTGCTATTGACTATTGAAACTATTCTAATAGTAATTGGGCTGGTGATCATGAATTATTATTTGGGCTCTGCCCATTTTATTAATAAGTCAAAACATAATAATAAGTAATAAAATTAACACTCTAATTTACACCTTTATTTTCTAGTAGTTGGCATATCTATTTTTGTTGTTCTTTTTCCTCTCTCCTTGTAATTTGTCAACAAAAAAAATTACATATTTTTCAATTCTCTCTTTCTTCCATTTTTTTTCTCCCTATTTCAAGTTTAGAATTTCTATATTCTTCTTCAAAATATTTCCATTAAAAATCAATCACAATGATAACTCTTCACTGTAAATAACTCAAATCATACTAATTTTATTTATATTGATTGTCTGAGTTTTTTTTAAAAAGTTGAGATTTTCTACATTCTTTATCTTGTAGTTGGATGCAAGATTTTTTTTTTACAAATTGCAGTATTTGTATTCTTTTGCCACGTTTTCGTCCCCCAAAAATTTCAATGTGTTGTAATTCCTTGAATTGAGTTTTTCTTTTTCAATTTCTAATAAATAATTAATTAATATATTTATAACAATTTTTTAAAATTTTAAACTTTATTGATTGAATTTGATAATGAATATTTATTGTCTCCAACGAATGTATCTAAATTTGTCAATAAATACAAACAGTCACATTTATTAATGAATTTCGTTGATTGCATTTCCAAATAGTAATGCAAGCAATTGCATACCTATGTAAAATTATAATTATACTAATACAAGCAAATGTTTATCAATTTATAAAAGAATATGGACGAATGTATTCAATAAAAATGTATACTGTATAAATTTGAAGATATTAATGCAAATAAACGTATACCAATTTATTATGATTATGAACAAATGTCAATATAAATGTAAAATTAGAAAGATATTAATGCAAACAAATGTACAGCAATTTATAAATGAATATGGACGAATATATCCAATATAAATGTAAATCTATGTAAAATTTGAAAGATATTAGTGCAAGAAATATAAATGTACACCAATTTATTATGAATATGAACAAATGTATCCAATACAAACGTATATCAATCTACTAGATAAATATTGATTAATGAATACAAATGTATCCAAATTTGTTAAGTGAATGTGAATTGAGCTCAAAAGACAAAATAATTGACAGGTTATGCACTCATAGGAATATACCTTTTAAATAAGAAAAATCATAATCAAAATATTATTTGTTAGGGTTTTTATAAAAATAATTCTAAATAATATTTTGTTAGTTTTAAGTGGAAATAGTTGGATTTAGAATAGAGATGATATTAATTTTCTTTTATTATTTTAAAAAATACAAAAATAATTTGAAAGAAGAGAATTTTGAATAATCTTTTGCTAGTAGTTTTAAGGAGAAATAGTAGGAAATTAGAAGAGAGATGAAATAATTATCTTTTCCAATTGTATGTAACACTTGTTTATCTGTTTCAATTCCATGGTGTAATTACATAGTTTTATTTGGTTGAACAGGTAATTACTTAATCAACAGGTCATTGGTGTAATTGGCAAGGGAAATTACACTCTACAATTCAAATCAAAGACTGTGAATTGTTGGTAATTTAGATGGTATAACTGCATTACTTTTTTTTATTTCTTTTATTTTATTTTTTTACTTCTATTGTTTTAAGTTATATTTTTATTTTTATTATTATAAAAGTTTATTTTATATTATTATATTTCATTTTCTTGTTCTCAACCTTGCTTTACATGAATTTCTGTAATTTTTTTATACTATCTATTTCTTTACATCATGCTTAGTTTCTAATAGGATAATTTTATTAGTATTCTAATTTTTGAATTAGAGTAGAATTTATTGTTAAGTAAGATTATAGACTTACGTTTTATTCAAAAAAATAAAAATTATATTTATGTATGCTATGTTAGAATTTGCTATGAGAGTATCATGTTAAATTTTTTTGTTTTGAATTTATACATTATATTTTCAATTTAATTAGTTTTAGTAGTATTGAATTCACATTGCACGTCATTTATTAATTGGACTTGGTAAATTATCTTTTTTTCAAACATTCAATAATTTATGACATTTTATTCATCATTTTTTAATTGAATTTTAATTCACATTGCATCCACGTGACATTTAACAACTTCCGTTAATAAGAAGGATACTTTTGACCCAATAGTTTGACGGAAATATTAGTTTTAAGCAGAATAAAGTTTAAGGGTAAATGCGAGCTATTTCGAATAGTTAAGGATATTTTGACCATTTTCAGTTTAGTTTATGTGGCACCAAAATTCTATTGACATGCAATGTGACATTCATGTGATATCCACATGGCAGTTAACAACTTCTGTTAATAAGAATGACATTTTTTATCCAATAGTTTAACGAAAATGATAGTTTTAAGTCAAAGTACAGTTTAAAAATGAATGTAATCTATTTCGAGTAGTTTAAGGATATTTTTAATCCATTTTTGTAGAAGAAAATACGTAGACAAATATTTTTTTTATGGATTCCACGGCAACTCGATTCCACAAGTTATAACTGCACGTTTTTGCTTTTTTTTATTTTTCTAAATAATCATGTAGAACAAAATATGTAAACCACGATAGTCACCATTTCATGGAAGTTGATTCCAAAAGCAACAACACGTTTTTGCTTATTTTGTAAAATATAAAATTGATAATTGAAAAAAAGAAGTCATATTAACCGTAGGTGACTCCTCAATTGATAATTAAAAATATAAAATATTTGATTTGAAAAATTCAAATTAAAAACTACTCCTCCTTCCATTCATGTTGTGATTTTCAGAAGTTAATTTATCTAATTTTCAATATTAAATTAAATTATATTAATTCAATATTTTAAACAAAAAAAAATCAAATAATCAAAAACTACACGAAAAATACGCAATTCTTTACCTATTCAATATAATGAAAAAAAATCATAAAATATTAGATAAAAATGAAGGGGAGAGTAGTATAGAATTCCTAAACTTATTAGGAATCGAAATAACAAGGTAGTTGGAGTCATTATAGGGTTTTAAGAAAAATAAATTCGAAACCTATAAATAGAACAAGTCTGTTTATGAATCCTCCTAATAATAAATAAATATTTAGAAATTAGGGTTCTACCATGGATATTGAAGTTGATCATTATAATGCTTTGGATTTACCCTCCGGTAAGGAAGGGGCAAAGCTTTCTGAAATCGATATATCGAAAGCTTATCGAAAGAAAGCATTAGAATTGCATCCAGACAAGAGACTCCATGATCCAATTAACGCTCACTTAAGTTTTCAAAAACTCAAGGCTTCCTATGACATTCTCAAAGATCACAAAAAGAGGAAGTTATTTGATGAGATGATCCAACTACAACAGCAGCAGCAACAACAACAACAAGATTCGAAGCGTAGAAAGACTATGCCAGTCCCAGAACATATATTTGTACCAGATATCAATTTGGCTCGATTAGAAGAAGAGGAACGAACTGCTATAAAACTTCTAGGTGAAATTGCTAGGATTCGTGAACTATTGCTTTCGAAGAAAGTGTCATCAGATATGTGTGTTGACAAGGAAAAAGTGCTTAAGGTATCATGGAGTAAAAGCAGTGAAGATTATACTTGCCAAAAATTGAAAGAGTTATTTAGTAATTTTGGCAAAGTTGAACATGTAATCATGAGTTCGAGTTCTAAGAAGATACGCTATGCTCTTGTGGAAATGTTATCTATAGACGATGCAGCTAAAGCCGTCGCTTCTTGTGTCTTGCCTGGTCTCTTAATTGTGCCTCTTGAGGTACGCTAGCTTATAATTAGATATTGTGTTTATTTGTTGAGGTTTTTGATACTTATTGGGTTGGTTTAAATAAATGTTGAATCTTTATAAGTAGTTATTAATTTTCAGAAACGTACCTTCATAGTTCATAGGATAGAAACGTACCTTCACAGTGCATTATCTGAGCATGAGTAAATTGCTGCATCAAACACATTCCTCATTAGTATAAGAAAAAACCAATATCTAGTACTAGTAATTTTCATCAAGCACAGGCTCAAAATCGCATTCCTTTTGTTGCTAACTGCACTGCATAAGATTTCCAACCCCCAGGTATAAACAATGAAAGAGATGCATTGATAGTGTCATTGATTGTTCAAAGAACAAGTCTGAAGGTGAGATTAATGCGTAATGAATCTGCCTTTACACGTTTAGGCACTGAATGAAGCCAATCCCGTTGAGTATAACCTCTCATTACCAGCAATGAACCATGTTTTAGGACAAACGAGTGTTTGTCTGGAAAGGCATCCTTCTTCAATCGCTTTCTGGGAGATTCACCACTGGTGTTTTTACCTTGTGCAATGAATAACAAACAGAAGAGGAAGTGATAAATACGACTTTCATGGGATCAACATTGTCGTTTGCAAAACGTAAGAGTTGATTTCTTAGATAGTCGCTCAACCAATAGTTAGTCATTATCTTCGGAAGTCACATTTTTTGTTGAAAGAAAATGGAGACAAGAAAAATGTGACTCATAACTATTAGTTGACTGATCTGAGAAATCGAACCTCAATATGTAACTGAACGGAAGGTCTGCTATACTCACACCTCATTTGACAAATAAAAGGATATTACATAATCAATATCAAGATGTACCTCGGGATGTTTTATCTGGCTTCTTTTTCAGCAAGAATTCACGTTCACATCCGAAGGAAAGAGAAGCAATTTCTGGAGTTGGTCCATAAAGTTTCTCATCATCAGCATGCCAACCTACATAGTCATCGCCTCCCTTGTACCTATTCAGTAATAAGCTGTTGAAACGACTTCCTGGAAAAGCTTTATGGACCTAAAGTGCAACACTGATGGTATAAGAAAGACAACTAGCTTGATCACTGGGAACTAGAACTTCAGAAGTTGAAGCAGAGCAAGCTTACAGCATCGAGAATATCCTTAAGCGGAGGAAATTCATCCCAAGAATATGCATGAGGCTGGTATCCACTGTAAACTAGTTGTGGTAATCCTTCACTTGCCACGTAACAAGTGTCTCTTGGCTGTGTAAATATTACGAACATTGTCAATGTGTTTTTCCTCATAGGAACATGTGGTCTCAGATTTTTATGACATGTAACATTTAACATTTATATTAGAAAAAGGGAAACTAACACACTAAGAGAGAGAGAGAGTAAAGCAACAGCATTTCAACTTGGATGATCATCATTCAAGTGCCAGACAAACAAAGCTAAGAAATAACACACCAAAGGGAGTAAAGGAACAACATAATCACTTTTAAGGTAAATGGTCCGTCATGACCACAAACTAACCTATTCACATACTAAAAGAAAACTCAACAACATTTTGAACTTGAATAGTTGGTCATCGGCAGAAGAACAAAACTGCCCTTAAAATCCTAACAATACAGACTCAGAATTTGAACACCATCTTTGTCCATGGGCTTTCTCATTACTCAAAAACAAGTCAGTAAAGCGATCCAATATAAGAGGATAAAAATAGCATCCAGCTTCAGCGTTCAAACTTTAAGGTTGTGTGTGTTGCTTTCCACTCAGTTGAAGCTTCTAAGTTTGGAAGAGAAAAAAACATTAATTCCATCTCCGAGGGAAAAAACCTTTTCTTTATAACGAAATTACTATGGTTTTGCCACAACCACAGCCCAACAATTTCTTGGGAGAATAAACTACATGGGAGCAAATGATTAGTAAATTCTTCTGTTGCTCTTTCTAGTAACTATAGGTTTGAATTATCACCTTGTTCCATTCCAAACCCTCTCGTTCAGGTGGCATTGGAGAATCTATGTAATGGTAGTTCGTGAAATTCAGCTAAACTATATCAATCTATCACCTATATTTGCACAGTGGAATTTGAAAACTATCAATCTCAATCAAATCCTCAACCCAAATGCAACATAGTTGATTTTCTAACGTAATTATCCAAGAAATCCTACAATATGCATAGCAGTAAGCATAACAGTGCAGAGATCACATCCGGAGAACAGATTGAACCACATGCACTTGTCAACTTCCCTAAGATTCACCCCCTGTTCTAAAAAATCAAAGTGGAAACATTTTATTTAACATGGGACTAGCCCCTCAAAAAAAAAAAAAGTACGTCACATAAGACTACATCAAAGCTTACGATTATAGTCAGACAAGGAAATATAAAGCAGCCTATCTAAAACTTAAAAGTATGCAAGAAAGCGGAGCCGGGATTTCCACTAATAGAATTCAAAACATAAATAAGTAAGCACAAAAAGAAGTTAAGACCTACTATTTACAACAACAACATACCCAATGTAATCCCACAAGTAGAGTTTAGAGAAAGTAGAGTGTGCGCGGTTTTACCCCTGCCTTGTGAGGTATAGAACTTATTTTCAATAGACCCTTGGCTCAATTATAGCATATTTAATCAGGTATGCAAATAATGAAGAAAAGAGCAGTAGCAACAAATATGATAACCAAAGATAAGGAAACAACAAGTAATACTAAAATCGAAGAGTAAGATGATAAGAAGTAATAATAACAATAACTAGACTACGCTCGACTAATCTACTCCAATCCTCGACCTCCATAAACCTCCTATCTAGCCTCATGTACTCGGTAAGTTGCTGCTATGTCTTATGTAATCACCTCTCTTCTATACTTTTTCAACCTACCTCTTCCTTTCCTTAGCTATACTATCGTCAACCTTTCACACCTTGGGCCTCCTAGCTCCATGGAAGAAATCTATCTACTAAGCTTCCGCCCAAATCTTCGACTTACATAACCTACTATCTCGCGTCATGTCCTTGATAAATTGCAGTGTTTCATCTCCTATCTAATCACCTCTCCCCTATATATTTTCGACCTACCTCTACCTCTCCTCAGCACTACTAAATCATAAAGCATGAGAGTTTAGTCTCCATTTTGCCTCTTAAAACATTACAGTTTACACTAAACGAGTCACATACAGAAATACAAATAGAGTGAAATTGAAGGAGAAAGGCAGAAGAAAAATGAGCACCTGGACACAAGATCGACCGAAGACGCGAATCGTTGGACGATTCCATGGTATATTTTTGTTAAGGTATTCTAAAAAATCCCATGACTGATCGTAATTTAGGAACCTAGGCATGTATATTACTTCGCTTCCATTTCCTAATTCAACTACTCTTTTTGTTCTAGAATCGCTAATTTCCGCCGGAGCTTCACTCTGCTCCGCCTCAAGGCGGTGACAGTCGCCGGTCTCCTCCTTCAGGTTCAGTTTCGTCACCGTGGCCATTAGCGTAGGAAGAGATTCGAAATGCTTTGGGGCATAGAAGAAGATGGCGGCAAATTCGACCCGACTCGGTCCGATTGTCTGTGGCAAATGATTTACATCTCAAAATCATGTAATATACATAGAATATACACTAAATTACATTATGATATATTCAGAAAATATAGTTTATACATTATAATATATTTTAAAAAATAGTTTATTTATTCATGAGCTATACATTACATTGACTCTACATTATGATACATTCAAAAAGTCGAATTCGAATGTAGAAGTTAATTTATCCAATCAAGTACATTATGACCGGACTCGGTTCGATTGTCTCTGGCGAATGATTTACATCTCAAAATCATCGGAAAAGGGCCTAAAATACCCTTGAACTATTAAAAATAGTACAAATTACCCTCCATCAATCTATTAGTCCTAAAATACCCTTGCTGTCTACCTTTAGGTCCTATATTACCCTTTATTTTTAACGGTCACTTTTTAAATCCAATTAATAAATTAATTAATGACGTGACAATTTTCTATTGGCCAGATTTTAAATAACTTAAATTAATTTAAAAACCCACCCATTCCCAAATTAGACCCGCCCCAAATTCAATTAACCCATCAACTTCTAGAACTCTTGCTAATTCTTCAGCCGCTAACAAACATCCTCAATCAGATCGTATCATGTTAAAGGAAAAACAGAACTGCATTTTCTGATGCTAGGATTCTATTGGTAGTCATAAGCCGAAGCTTAGCATATAGTTTTCGTGCAAAGCTGGGATTGCTTCTCTAGCTTAAGATATCATTTCCGGGGCTTAAAATTGTGTCTCCAACCTCTTTTATGCATATTGAATAATTTGAAATCAATCTTACCTGAGAGTTCGGTCATCTCAGAGATTATTTTCATCACTCTGATAAGTCATCACAAGATTTTTCTGTAACAGTTCAACGGGTTGAGTCTTAACTTTTCCCAACTTGCAGAAATGGTTAGAGAGCTTAACCGAAGCGGAATTACAAGTATTGCTTGAGCAGGTTGAAGAAGAGAAGACCCGCCTGACTAGTGGTGAAGAGGTCAAATAGATATTGTTTTCCTTGTGGCTACGCATCACATTTTTGCTGGGACAAAGAAGTTGATGGGTTAATTGAATTTGGGGCGGGTCTAATTTGGGAATGGGTGGGTTTTTAAATTAATTTAGGTTATTTAAAATCTGGCCAATAGAAAATTGCCACATCATTAATTAATTTATTAATTGGATTTAAAAAGTGATCGTTAAAAATAAAGGGTAATATAGGACCTAAAGGTAGACAACAAGGGTATTTTAGGACTAATAGGTGGATGGAGGGTAATTTTGTACCATTTTTAATAGTTCAAGGGCTTATAAATGAGCTATTGTCTATATATTATAGGGAAAAGGCTCAAATATGTCATTGAACTTAAAAAAAAAAACTCATTTATGTCATCCGTTAAAAGTTTGACTCATTTATGTCATTACCGTTAAAAAAAATCTCATTCATGCCATTATTTTTTAACAATAATTTTGCAAAATCATTTTTGATACATGACCAATTATAATTTGGCCACGTCATCAATTTTTTAATTAAAAAAATATTTCAATTTTTATTCAGAATTTTGATTTTTTTTTTAAAAAAATTGATGACATGATCAATTATAATTCGACCACATTATCAATTTATTTAATTAAAAAAATCAAAAAAAATAATTTAATTTTTTTCTTCAGAATTATGATTTTTTTTTAATTAAAAAAATTGATGACATGGCCGAATTATAATTGGCCACGTGTCAAAAATAATTTTGTAAAACATTTGTTAAAAGATAATGGCATAAATGAGCCTTTTCTTTAACGATAATGGTATAAATGAGCCAAATTTTTAACTGATAGCATAAATGAGCCTTTTCTGAAAATTCAATGACATATTCGAGCCTTTTCATAAACTCAAAAAGTTATATATAAGTTAACTATACACGAAATATACTAATCCCATCAACTCAAAAAATCCTCTAAGCATTCCTAAGTTTAAGATGTGAGATACTCTCGATATTTCAAATATTTATATAATTTGTTCAAAATAATTCATGTTGATATTTCAAATATTTATATAATTTGTTTGAAACGATTTACGGTTGTATAAATTTTAAAGAAAAAGGAAAAGCAACTAAGAAAAAGAAGGGAGCAAGGAGGAGGAGGAGGGAGGACAAAGAAGAAAAAAGAGGGGTCAATAATCAACTCAAATTTAAGAGCATATATGATTTTATGGGCTAATTTTGTCATATTTAGTCATGAATATTTGAAAAGTTCATCAAGTCAACTTTGAATTTGACAATTTACTTTAGCACTTTAAATACACGATGTTTATTTACTCCCTAAAAAACTTCTAAATGAACTAAATATATATTTGGTGGCAGGTATTGCAATTTGCATGTTGATAATACCTTAACATGAACACATGGAAAATTTAGATGAGTGTGAAGGGAAGTGGAAAAATGAAGATGTCGAGAAGAAGGGTTGCTCAAATTGTAAGCACTCTACACTTCAATCTGAAGGTTGTTAGTTCGAGTCACCAAGTGAAACAAAATAGATGAAACGTAAAAAAAAAAATGAAAAAGAAGGGAAATGAAGATGTGTATCAGATATTAAACTTATAAAAACAGATACTACAAAAATCCCCCTTCCACTTCTTAAATCACTCCAATCTGACTTATGCACATACTTGATCAAAATCTACAAATATCATCTCCCCCCCCCCCCCTACAACAAGACGTATATAGCTCAAACGAGACCTGCATCGATGTCAGTGATAACCACTCTACGTGGAGGCCGGAACAACGCAGGAAAGATCACTCAGTTTGATCTTCAACTCTATGTCCCCAGACTCCACATCACAAAGCCTTAACCAAACATCTTGTACAACTTCACCATTCACCCAACTAATGCTGCTATCGATTGCTAGGCAGTTGTCTTTATTCGGGATAACCTTCCTTAATGTTGTCCCCTCAGAAGCAACCCCGAGAATAGTTCTCAATCTAGCAGCTGCAACCAAAGGCTGAAGACTGAGATGAGCATTTCCCATTTCGTCGTCTGCTTTGAAATGGTCTTTATCAAACACTTCCTGTTATAATTGTTTGTCAATGACATGGAGTGAATTTCACAGAAATTATTCAAAATAAATGTTACTCTAGATACAACGATTTAGCTTCATTTCAGCAAAATGGCAACTTTAAATAGCCTTAAATATCACTCCTTTCAATATGTAATACAATATGTATATCGTCTTCAGATTGTTCCTCTTTTTCTTTTTCTCTATGTCGATTGCATAAGATTAAAGAGTTGGCGTTGACGACATTCTGATTTTCTTCCTTGACGTTTGACTTCAAATTTTTAACTTGTGGTGTTTCCCACAAGACACGAATGGGGTAAAAGTATTATCTATAGAAGCTTCATAATTTCTTTTCTTCATTTCTTGAGTCTACGTATACTCATGCCTTTAAAGATTCTGTTTTCTTAGGTGAAAGTTTCGTCATTTCTGTTTTCTAATAAACTATTTCAGGTCACGGGTTCGAGCAGTGGAAACAACCTCTTGCAGAAATGCAAGGTTAGGCTAGTTACAATGGACCCTTGTGGTGGAGCTTAGTCAACCGGGGGATATATTTTTTTCCCTAATAAACTATTTCACTATCTATTTTCCTGTTTTGTCTAATGCAACTCGTTCAGATACGGGAGATATAGCTGTTTAGCAAGCAAGGGTGCTAGAACTCCAGAGCACCTTTTATTTGCTGTTCAAGTTCAAACATATCAAATACATGCAGCGTAACAATTATACAGAGGAACAACACCAGCAAAAGTTCATAGTAATGTCACGTCATCTAACAAAAGTCGAGTCATTAAATTGGAATGCAGAGGAGAAACATGAGAGATGATGAAACAAAAGTTTAGAGGTAAAGGGCAAATACCAATTTGAGAACCTCAGCCGGCTCAGAGATAGTGAAACAGAATTCTTCATTCCAAACAGGATTAAGGCAGCTATTTATGACTTTGGTTTTGGCAGTCTGGTATAACAATAAAACGTAATATCAAGATGTCAGCTCGCGAAAAGCAATTTCAAAACTCTCAAGCAAAGTGAAAGGTAAAACCACAAATCGCAACAAAAAGTCTGAGGTGACACGCAACATAAAAGATGCTATTAGTATAATCTTTTCCGAACAATTTACTAATAATTCCAAATACACAGTTGTAAGCGAAAGAGAAACACCCTATTTCCAGCTCCACCCATAAGCCAGGCAAACAACTAGCAAGAAAAGATCAATTTATCTGTGACCTCAACAACAACAACATACCCAGTGAATCCCAAAAGTGGAGTGTACGCAGCCTTACCCCTACTTGTTGTTTGATTTGAGAATCACATTTCATTATAACTATTGTTAACTAGGATTCAGAGTATGCATTTGAAACCGTACTTGTAAAAGCCCTCAACTTTCAAAGAATAAAGATGATCAGAGTCACACGAAATGACAGATAATATCTTAAGGAAGGAACAGAAGGGGGAAACACAAAGCTACCTGATTACCAAGCTTGAGAACGACATAAGGATCACTTGTCTTGAAGTCTCGAATCACCAAACGTCTTCCTTTTATAACAGTCACTTTGATCTGTCCTAATTTGTCTCCCATTATCCACTATAGCAATGTAACTAACTCCGAAAACAGTACCAAAACTGCATCTCACAAGTACTTACCCTTGTTAAAAACAAGAACCAAAACATATTCGAGGATATAGAAAAGAACAAGAACTTGGTTTGAAGAGGGGTGTAGGGGGCACGTTCTGTTATAATCTATGTTGTTCAGACCATCCAGAAATGTTGTCGTACACCTGTTGGATCCTCCAAAAACGCCACATATGCAATATTATTTTTGAAGATTAATACAGTTATACAGCTGCAACAAGTCACATAAGCCTAGTAATTTAGTTAGACACACCAACTTCAATAGCAATATCCTATTAAATACGCCTTCTGTACCAATTAATGTGACACCCATTCCTTTTTAGTCTGTCCAAAAAGAATGTCACGTTTCTATAATTAGAAAACAACTTAACTTTAAAAATCACACTTTACCTCTGATGAACTGATTTATAACTACAAAAGTGTTCCAGACAAGAAATTTCAGAAGTATCGGTTTCTTTTTAAACTTCGTGTCAAATCAAATGTTACTAAAACTCAGACAGCTACAACAACATATAACATAATTCCTTACAATTCAGCTCAACTAAAGAGAAATTCACTAGCAGTGTCTAACTAAAATAGTAAGTAGAAACCTTCAAAAAGCAGCAAAACAGAATAAAAATTGAATCTTTAATGCAAATGAAGCAACCCCTGATGACTAAAATATCCAAAAATCACTAAAACATCAGAAAATCAGAAAAAGAACATATTTTTAATCAAATCAAGAAAACCCCAAATATTACCAGAAATCTAAAAAAAAAACAGGAAAAAGATAAAGAAGACATTTTTAACTCACTTGAATCAAACCCAAATGTGTTAAATTCCAAAAATGCAAAAGACTATCTTGCTCTGATCTCTGTTTAGGTTTTTCCCAAGAGGCCAACAAAGTACAGTGCAAAATGGAGCTCAAGTATGAGTGGATTGTGTGGTGTCTTTATATGTATATAATAGTTTATATATTATAGTTCCTTATATATATTAATAAAACGTGTATACTTTGTTTTTATTTGTCTCTCACTTGTTATTTAATATGTATATTAGAATCTCATTAAATTGAATTTATATCGCATGAGACTATGAAATATTTATTGTATTGAAGTTTTGATTAATTTTAGATTTACATCACATAAGATTAATTTAGAGGACAAAAACTCTCGATTAATTTGAATTCACGTCAGATAAAGCCAATTTAAGAAAGAATCCCAACATTGAAGCGTCAACTAATTCATGTATGCAAAGAATCCCAACATTGAAGCGTCAACTAATTCATGTATGCATTGCGTAAAACCTCTTTATTTAAAAGCTTCCTAGAATCTGAACAAATCTCTAATTAAAAATGAAGTCATCTTATTCCACCATAGCATAACATTAGTTAATAGTAATACTTTTTAAGATACATATAATGTGAAGATGATTTTTGCGTCATGAATTGATTTACTTGAATTTAATATTAATTTAAATATATATGTAAAATGTTATTAATTTAGTTTATAATAAATACTAAATGTGAACTCATATTTTTAAAAGTATAGTCAGCTTAGTGCTGAAAATTTAAAACGTTGATTAATTTGATTCAATTGCCTAATTATGTTTTCCTTTCTTTTTTTTTCTTTTCATACTCTTCTATATTATTTTAATTAAAAATCGTGTTAGCCGTTTAGTTTGAACACTATATAATATTGGCAACATCCCCACATTAGTGTGAACACATTTTGGACCCTAGTCATCACAACACTTTTTTCCTTTTGACCAAATTTAACTACATAATTAGTATGAATTTTTAAAAAATATCTCATAAATTATAATTAAAAATAAATTATATGTATTCAAAATAGAGATACTTAATGCACATACACGAAAATAACAAATCATTAAAAAGTAGAAATAAGATTCGTAACAAAGCATATTATATAGAGGGAGACTAAAAATGTCAAAGGATAAAATAAACATTGCATTAAACGAGAAGATTGGAGAAGTTAGATATCTTCTTTTTTTTTCTTCTTTTTCGAAAATTATTTTTATTTGAAATATTCCGACAATCAAACACCTAAAAAATGTTTTGAAAAGACACCATAACTATTTATAATTGTGACTAAGAAATAAACAGAATATATTGGAAATCACCTTAAAATAGAAAACGGAGCAATTTCAAATAGTACAATAGTTCATACAAAGATAAATTAAAAACATAAATTAAAAGAAACTAGTACAAGTTTTTTTTCTTTCCCTAGAACTCTTAAATCTTACTACTTATTATGCTCCCCAAATGATTCAACATTATTATTTGCCTCATCAAGATTAGCCTGAGAATTTGTAGCAACATTGTCATTAGTCATGTGTGCATAAGTATAGTAACCATGATGATGATGAGTCATTGTGAAATTAGGTGGCAAGGGATAATTAACATGTGTCATGTTGTTACCAATGCTAGTTGAAGCCGCGGGGTCAACCATAGCACCCCGCGACTTCATCAGCATGAGTGGCTCCCCTCTGAGGGAGCCACGGTCACCGCCATCGCACTCCCGATAACGGTGCAGGTGCATAGTCAGGGGTTCGATGTAGTCATCGAACCCTAGCTTGCTCATGGCCCAGAGCACGTCCTCGGCCGTGATAGTCTTGCGTTGCTCGCGCTGGCACCGGTCGTTGGCTTCACCCGTAACGAAGCTGATGAACTCGGACACGCATTCTTGGATGGTCTCTTTCGCGTCGTCTGATATCTTGGCATGTGGAGGTAGGGTTTTTCGCATGATTCGGATCACGTTTGCTATTGGCATGAATCGGTCCTGCTCACGGACGGTGCATTCAGAATCGTCTGGGACTGAGGCGTTGTTGTTATCGTTTAGGTGGTTGGTTGTGGGAATGGCTTGGTTGAGTGTGGCAATGCCATCTAGAAGACAAATGAAAACATTAGACAATTATGACACAAGACTAAGCATTAAAGTGAATTAAATAATTTAAGAATAATTAGATATACCGTACGAAATTCATCTCTAATAAAGTCAACATGTCATCTAAGGGGTGTAAATAAATCCTTTACTACAATGTCGCATATAATTTAAATTCATAATATAAATTTAATTTTTCACGAGATACACTTTATTTTATATTTTTGGTGTATATATACATCCTTTGATTCATATTATTTGATGTTTCTTTTACCTTTGACGCACCTTTTAATAAATTACTTACTCTTAACAACTAAAAAGAATTTTAACTAATTAATTACTCATACTTAAATTTACATCTTTCTAAGATGATATAAGTATAAAGAGTAGAGAAATTCGATGTTCACATATATCATATACCTTTTAAAGAAACAGTAAAAATACCTATTTTTATATCTTTATAGGAAAATAACTAAAACTAACACCTTCTCGATTATGTCAAACATTGTATAATTTGAACCAAAAAAAGAGAGTAAAAAAAGACCAAATAATATAGACCTATGGAAGTATATAACTAATTAATTTCAACTAATGTTAATTAAGTGTATTAGTTGGTTAATTAGTAGTACACTTGGGAGTTTGAAGGGAAGGTCCAGAAGCAGCCGTAAAATTAGGTATATGTCTGAATCGTAAAAGCAATCACTAATCCTTATAATAAAACAGATTATCTACGTTATCCTTTTTAAAATCTTATCATTATCTAAACCCTATATAACACGAGATATATATTTCATGCATTGATTTTTTTAAATTTTTTGTACACTTAGGAAGTAACCAGCAAATAAGATTCTAGGTTATATTTTATAGTGCACACATAAAGACAGCAACTCACAAGAGTCCAGATGAAAGGCCTAGACAATTTCTGTTATAAAAACTCCAATTTTTTAAAAAAGCTACGAGACAAAATCATATAGTTAAAATTGACCCAAAAAATAATAAAAAAAATTTCATTAGTTAGTGATTTCAAAATATATCTTTTTCTTCATTTCTTCGCGCGATATTCAATATTTACACTAAAACTCTTATATTCGTAAAAACAAGTATTTATTGAATTATTATTTTTTAAAAAAAGGTTTAAACTCGAGATTATCAAATAAAAAATGTTATTCGATCTCACGATAGCTTTTAATGGAAAGATATTTTCTACTCTCCTAGTCCTTTTTTTGAAGGAATATTAATCCACTTACAAATTGTGTTGATTCATTATTGTTTAGAATATAAGTTACACATAATAATAGACAGTATTGTTTATAACCAAAACGATAATCTAGAAAAATAAAATACCTAGAGATATAATCCAATAGGTTAAATTACATTGGTAGGAAAAAATTACATGACAAATGGTTACAACTTATACCCTTTTCTCATTTTCATGTTTTTCCTTTTTCAGGTTTAATTGGTCAAAATATTTCGAAACTTTTTTATCTAAAACTTTTTAATTTCTCAAAATTAGAAAAATAAACTTTTCCAGTGAGCTTGTGCAAAAATAAATTTCATAACTAACATTTAAATCAATTAACCAACTACACCCTAACAAATTTTTCTATTTTCTACCACAAAACATTAAAAAAAACAATTGTGATGTGGAGCATTTTCTCTCCAATTCTTTTTCTCACAATTTTTATATATAAATAATTAAAGAGAAGCATGATAGAGTGCCATATGTAAACATAGGGTAGAGAACAAATATGTATACAGTTGGGGGGGTCTGGAATTTACATGCATATATTCACTTGTTTTTTTATTTTATCTTTTTCTTCAAATTTCAAGCAAAACAATTTTATATATATATATATATATATATTACATACTTTAACATGATATTAGAATAATCAAATCGACTACATAAGAAGCGTATGTGTTGAGACATTATTAAAGAGGAAAAAAGTACTTTAGGTAACAAGTTTATCTTTTAGATAAAATAACAATACATCTCAAATATCATGAAAAAAAAGACAGTGTAATACTTTTTTAAACGAAATGATCACACTTACCAGCGGAAGTTGTTTGTGGGAACCTACGGTAGCCATGAAAACCTCCACTACCATTGCCTCCTCCAAGATCCATTGCTTTCTTCACTAAGAAATTATAAGAGAGAAGAATGCTAGCCTGTATGTTGGAAAGTGAATAAGCAAAGAGATGGTCATTTATATAGAAGATACAATTAGGGATTGTTTGGTGATGAAATAGATAAAGTCATTTTATGAATTGAGAAATACGATATTTTTTTAGTTTTTATATTAATTGACTCATATCGACCTAATACACTTCTTAAGAGGACTTTTATGTGTTGTTGGAACTCTAATTCTGACTACTATTATGTTGTTTTATTTAATACTAAGCTCTCTTGATTTTCCATTTCTAAATTTGACAAATACTAAAATATCTCCTTTTAGGTTAAGTAATATGAAATGAAAATAAAAGTATTATAGAATTACTTTCCGTTTATTTTTAATTGTCACAATTTTCTTCTTTTAGAGTCAAACTATAATAAGTTTGATTAATATTTTATGATGTATTTTTTTTTATCATATTAATATATAAAAGATTGCAATTTATAATACTTTTCGTATAGTTTTTCAATATTTAATTTTTTATTTAAAATATTGAATTAAAGTAATCTACTTTAACTTTGAAAATCAGTCAAACTGACTTTCGGAAAAGCAAGACAACTAAAAGTGGACAGAAGAAATACTTATCATTAGTATAAATAATGTGATAAATAATACTCCCTCCCTAAGAAACTAAGGAAGCTTATATTTTTACGCTATTATAAATAGGAACAGAGAAAATATCAAAATTAATATAAAAAATATTATTCCTTATCTCTAGTAACAATCGGAAAAAGTAGGGAAAAAAAATTGTAACCGCGTGGCAAAGGGGCGTGGTGAACAAGAAGAGGTAATACGTTGGTAAGAAAATAGAGTTCATCAGTTGGGTAATTATGTGCAGCATTGACCGGCACACCATGCAATAACAAATTGACTAATTTTACTTTATATTATAGGATCTCTTCGTTTCAAATTAATTGTTTTATTTTGATTTGATACAGAAATTAAAAGAAAAATTAAAAAAATTATTTTCTTAAAATATGTCCAATGTATTAAAATAACTTTTAAATTTATAATTTTAAATATTACATATGTAAAAAATAATTGAAATCAATAAACCAGAAGCGAAAAGAGAGATTTTTTTTAAAAACCAATATGGAGGGAGTAACTTTTTTCTTTCCCAATCCAATTGAAACTAAATGTTGGCTACTAACTCAATCCTCCATTATGTTTCATGTAACCAAATTAGGGACGGATGTACGATTCGACATAATTCAATAATTTTTATAAAAATTTTAAAAAGAGGATATAGATTTACGTTTTATTTTTTATCTAAAGTCATCTTTATAGTAGACGTTTAGGCATGGCTCTTATCGTATTTATTAATAATACATAGCAAAATATGTGAGCGATATTGCGAGAAGGATGAATAACCAAACCTCATAGAAATGTGGTTGACTATGTAAACAATGAATATAATATTAATATTATATTCAGTATACTTTTATCGATCTTGAAATTATTTTCGAAAAATACTTGAGAAAGAGAAATAAAAGAAGTCAAAGTAGAATATTGTAGTTACTACTTTTTTTTTTCCAATTAATTCAATTGACATTGAATGGTTAAATTCAAAATATCCTCGATTATTGTGACCAAAGTAGTAGTAATAAGTAAGTGACAAAACAACAAATTTAATTCACATATGAATATGAGCAAACCAGTCTTCCCTTTTTAACTTGTAAAGTTGATGTCTTCTGGTTGGTGTGGAACTTGGAACTTGCTCCTTATAATCCTCACCCAATTCATTTTCTATATGTCATTGTCATTACAATTCTTTTATTTTTTTAATATGATGTTTGATATTTATATCGGGATCAGAGATCTTATTCAGCAAGAAATTACATTGTATATTCAAGTTTAAAGTTATTTTTTTTATGTATATATAGTAGATGTTGAGTTCAGTAGTGGAGAAATTTAACTAAGAGTATCCAAGAATAATGGTTGTGGTTGTCAAAACAAAATAAAAAAAATATTATGTTATTCGGGGCGTGAACCCAGAACTTTTTCATTCAAATGGACACATATTACTACTACGCGCAAGACATAGCTCTAGCTCCGCCCCTGATTGAGTCCTCTTGACTTCTTTTATCTTTTAAACCTTTTTAATGAAAATTGTATTTTTGTGCCATGTTGACCTATTTAAGGAGCTCCTGCTAGAATTTTCATCATTTCTAGATCTTTAAATGTGATCAAGGATGGACATATCATATTCATCCTGTCGCAACCCGTGATATCTAGATTAAGATGGTGTTATGTGTTTGGGTTCGAAAATATAAGGTATGTGTAACTACATTTATAATAATTTTCTCATACTAAGAATTTTTCGCATTTTCTACAACACATTCAATGTAGTCCCACAAATAAAATCTGAAGAGAGTATGCATCCCTTATCCTATCATTTTAGGGTAGAGCGGACGTTATTTTCGATAAACCTTCAACTCAAACGAGAAGTTTTGGAAGCATGGAAAATATGATGGTCAAAAGATATAAAACAAATGAATCGACAGGAGGGGAGAGGATGAGCCAAAAGGATATACTCCTTTAACCTTAACAAAAGCTCTTAACAAAAGCTCTTGAATTTTGAGCCCGTGATGGAGTTGCCTTTGGTAGGAAGTATTTGTCCCCAAAGTGGACTCACGACGTGAATCCAGATTAGTTGGGAAAACCCCATAAAAAGAACGCTGAGCTCTCCGACTAGAACGTCTACTCGTAGCTCATAAACAACATAAAATTTCCAAAAATCACCTTCCGAAGTGCAAATATTTTACACCAAAAAAGTAAATGCTTGATGTTCTGATACAATTTATCGCGGTAAACCTAAGATGTGTTGAACAAGTCAACTATTGTACTATAGAAAATAATGTCACAACTTGCAATTTGTATGATCTTAGGATTTACATGAACCTAAGATGTGTTGAACAATCAAAGGATCTTTCATT